ATAGACAGATGCAAATCGCCGAGGTGTTTCCTAGACGAGCAAGAGCTTCTAGTTCTCACGCTCCAGTGCTTATAGTAACTCCTGAGCCTCTAGGGTTGAGGCAATCTATCTCATCCCAACATATTACCATTGGCCAGCTATCTACAACCTATCGACACCATCTCGATCCTAACCCTCGATCCTATATCGACCCCAACTCCCGATTCCCGCCCCGACCCCGACTCCTCTAGACTTGACCCCCATGTACTCCAATATCATTAAAAGAAACTTAATCTCTCATGGGGAAAAAAAAAGTCAAAACTATGAGAAAAGCAATTGCGAGATTTTTTTATCATACCGCCACCCCATATTTAGCAGCTAAGTCCCCATATTTTTTAACCCATGGTACATGCTATAGGTGAGGCCGGGCCAAGAGCCAAACTCCCTTCTGCAGAGGAGATTGCAAGGAAGCTCCTTGATGATGAAGTTACCTTAATACAATCACACATCGAAGAATTGAAAAGAGCATGGGATAATGCTAGGATCATGTTTATGTCAGATGGCTGGAAGGATGGACGACGGAGGCATATGGTGAATTTTTTGATCTATTGCCCCAAAGGTATTTTTTCCCACTCTAGTACCTTGGTTGAGATGGAGCAAAAGTAAATGTCACTTTTGCAAGGATCAAAGAGCATCCTTCAGTGAAGAATAGGAAAAAATATGGAAAAATATAACAAAAGTGGCCGAGTCGATTTTCTGTACCTTTTGAAGAACTTAGTTTAAAACTTTATGGCACTTGACATGTAAAAACAAGTAAGGGACTTGCATCTTCAGTTTTCCTATGTTATCCAGGGTAGGAAAATCAACACAAGGTTTACAACTTAGTGCATGTCACTAAGTTATGTAGTTTAGATCATTAAAGGATATTCTTTGATCTTCGTTAAAGGATGTTCTTTGATCCTAGCAAAAGTGACATTTACTTTTGCTCCATCTCGGCCAAGGTATTAGAGTGGAAGCGACATTTACTTTTGCTCCATCTCGGCCAAGGTATTAGGGTGGAAAAAAATTACCCTTGGGGCAATAAATAAAAAAATTCATTATATGCCTCCCTCATCCATTTACTTTTGCTCCATCTCGGCCAAGGTATTAGAGTGGAAAAAAATTACCCTTGGAGCAATAGATAAAAAAATTCATTATATGCCTTCCTCGTCCATCCTTCCAACTATCTGACATAAGCGTGAACCCAATATTATCCCATGTCCTTTTCCATTCTTTGATGTGGGATTGTATTAAGGTAACCTCATCATCAAGGAGCTTCCCTGCAAGCTTCTTTTCAGTAGGGGGTTTGGCTTTTGCCCCGGCCTCAGCTATAACATGCACCATGGGTCAAAAATATGGGGATTTAGCACCTAGAAATAAGGTGACGGTATGATAAAAGAATCTTGCAATTGCCTTTCTTATTGTTTCAGCTTTTTTTTTTCCCTATGAGAGATTAAGTTTCTTCCAATGATATTGGGATACATGGGGGTCAAGTCTAGAGGGCTCAGGTCGGGGCGGGGGTTGGGGTTGATATAGGATTGATGGTCAGGATCGAGATGGGGTCGGTAGGTCGTAGATGGCTGACCAATGGCAATATGTCGGGACGAGATAGATTGTCTTAGCCCTAGAGGCTCAGGAGTTATTATAAGCTCTAGAGCATGAGAGCTAGAAGCTCATGCCCGTCTACCAAACATCTCGTTGATTTGCATTTGCCTATCGTGATACGCTACTAGACTAGCCTGCTTAGCCTTCTACATCTTAACCTCAAACTCCTCCTCCTCATCATCATTGGGAGTGGGTTGATAAAATCCCCTCCCTACATCCTCAATGATCATCTCTCTATGTACGTTCTTCCCTTTGGCAATCTCTGTTGCCTTTTGAATCTCTTCCTTAACAACCACATGCACCTCGTTACATGTCTTTACATTACTTTGAATTTTAGCGAGGTGATGTTTCACGCGATTAATGCTGCGCTTCAACCCACCCCTTAGCATCCAACTTCTCTTCATACTGCCAAAATCGTTCCTCTCTTGTCATCTCTTAGACCTATTAATGTAAAGGCTGAAAATTATATCAAGAAAAATATGTTGCAATATATATGTCTTAATTGGTTCTAAAACAAGGTCTATGTTACTTAGAGTTAGAAATTTAAGTTTGTATTATCTCTATGCTGCACTAAATCAATAAATATTGGAGCAAAAAAAAAAAAAGCAAAACAATATAGGAGATTTCAATATCTTAAAAAAAAAAAACTAATAATCAGGAAACTATTGTCGATAAATTAGAGAGAAATTACAGATTTTGCATTTATTTGACAATTCATTGGTATTACCTCTTTAATGCACGAAATCAATTGATATTGGAGCAAAAACAAGGGCCAATCTATAGAGGGCTTTTGCAGCTGATATCAATAGATTTGAAATAAATAAAAAATTAGAATTCATCCTTGAATAATTAAGGAGAAACAACAAATTTAGGCGGTACTTTTACAATTCATTGATGTTACCTCTATGATGCACCAAATCAATCGATATTGGAGCAGGGAAGGGCAAACCAATATAGGGTTTTCAAGTTATTTCAATATCTTAAAAGAAAAAACTAATACTCGAAACATTATTATTGCGAAATTAGAGAGAAGTAATAGATTTTACAATTTTTTGATAGTTCATCGATATTACCTCTTTGATGCACGAAATCAGTTTATATTGGAGCAAAAAACCCATGGATCTGTAGAGGGCTTTTGAAGATGATTTCAAAAGCTTCAAAACAAATTAAAAATCAGAAAAAATTGTTGAGTAATTAGAGAGAAATAATAGATTTGGCGCTTTTTGACTGATTGTCGATAGTACCTCTTTCATGCACGAAATCAGTCGATAATGGCAAAAAAAACCCACTGATGTAGAGGGCTTTTGAAGCTGATTTCAAAAGTTCAAAACAAACCAAGACTCAGCTGATTTGGTGTAGAAATTAGCAAAAACAAAGAGGTTTGGCAAAAAAAAAAAATACACACAAAGAACCCTAAATTACGGTGATTGAACTTGATAAATTTGCGAATCAGCACAGGGATTTTGTAGATAATTTCAATAGATTTAAAAAAAGCCAATTATTAGTCAATTTGGTAGAGTAATAAGAGAGAATAGAAAAGATTGGCGGATTATCTATTTTCTGCTCAAAGAACCCTAATTTCGTGATGAAGTCTTGTTCGATTTGGGCTTTTATGAACCCAAGTTGTATCATAGGTTGTTAAAACACAAAAAGGTTTCCAATAATCCATCAAAATCAGTCCAAAATTTCTATTTTTCAGTTAAAAAAACATTCTATATTTTGAAAACCGAGTTTTATTCACAAAATCGCCATCTCGGCACGTTTCATCGATTTTGAGCCAACTATTCCAATTTGACACGGATTCCTGCTCATTCAGGGATAGAAAACCACTTGTACCATTGACTCGGGCTTCCTTGGCCTCGGCGGCAGGGTGACGCTGAGGAATATTAGGTGGAACGCATTTGCGAGAATAATTGGAAAGATGCTTCAAGGTAGAATCTAATTTTTTTGCTAATGTTAACGACTCTTGTGGTCAGTAATATTCCAGTTCCCATTTGAACTATAAAGTCAAACATGCTTGCAGAAGCTAACTTGGTAGGGCAATCTCCTAGGAGTCTTAATCTTGTACCCATAGTTTCAGGTAACTTAGCTATGGAATGAAGAAAGCTAATATCGGAAAATTAAAAGAAAGCTAATATTGGAGAAATTAAAATATGATAAAGATCTATTACTCTATTATTATTTTTTATCAGTGAAGGTTAGTATTACTACTACTAATATCACCACCTCTCCTTGTTAATGTATGCTACTACTACTATTTCTATTGTCAGTATCATTACTGGTAAGCAGTACTAATAATACTAGTAGTTTGTTCATCAAGTGTTATTGTTGGGTTAATCTTACTTTGGTTCTGATAAGTTCTAGTGCACAGCTATTGTAACAACAGCCATATAAGGTCATATCTTGAATGATGGATTCTAGAAAACCTGAACCTTTCTTGGGGATCAATTCAAATATTTTGAGGCCTGCATTTTGAATGTTAAGAAAGAAAGGCAAGAACCATGCAAGGAGTACGGCAATGATGGATCATTTCTAGAGTGATGATATTAGAATGGCATGACATTCTCTAGATAGATTGGCATCTTTGACATCTTCTTAGTGGAGGTGTTATACCATGGAACATTTATTTTCTTACTCATTTTCTTTGTCTAAGTCAATTTGAGAATATCAAGGGAGATTTACTCATGTGATTGAATGGAACCACATGGTTCTTTAGAATGTGCTGGCAAAATCAATTGGTAAATAAATGAGAAAGGGTTCATGAGAGCAAGATAGGAAACAGGGATAGAATTAGAAACATAGTTGAAGAAACATTTGAAGATAGAATTGGTCCAATTCTTGTTTATGTATCATTGTGCTATTTATTTGACCCTACAAAATGTGTATGTGATCACTGACTGGTAGAAGCTGAATGCTTCATATGTGCTATAGAGTAGGATTTGATCTTGAACAATGAATGTGCAGTAGAGCTTCTTTAGCAAGCCTCTCCTTGGCACCAGCTTTTGTGTGAGTACTGTGTTTGATCGCATTTCGAATGGACATTAGATATACAGTTTCTTTATTCTTTGCTGAACTCTAGTTACCTGCTGGTGTTAGAAATTTCAAAACAGAAAATTTCATCTCTTCTTATCTAAAGAATAGTTGTTGGGAGTTGAAAAAAGAAAAAAGAAAAAGGAAAAAGGAAAATGAGTTTGGTCGTTGGTTTCCTATTTTACTGTATGCTGATCAGTTCTCTGTGAAACATGATGTATGGTCTTCTAGTCCTCTTTGCAACTGATTCTCTTTATCCAAATCTCACCTTCTAGAGAGAGAGAGAGAGAGAGTGAGAGAGAGAGGAATTCATCATTGATGAAAAGGATTTCTGTTGCATTCTGAGTCTTTGGTCATTTACTCTTTGGGCTCACAAAGAAAAAGGTATGTATTATCAGGCGGAGGAGAACTGTACATTTAATATGTATCTTGACACTTTCAGGCTTGAGGAGCCAATGAAATAATCCTTCTTATTACAATATGTATATCTCGCTCTTGGATGAATACTATTATACACCAAGGTGCAGGTTGTGGATTCCCCCTTTATTGTTGGCTCTCACCTGCCAAAGAGAGAGGGAAACTAGGGCAATACACATTACCCAATCTGACTGCTATATCAATTTAAACTGTTTTGAATAATAATATATACACAAAAGGTCGGATCTTGCTGTCAGCTTGTCTTGTTGCAACACTTGACCTTGGAACCTCTCTCTCTCATGGATTTCTTTGAGTTCTCTCTTTTCCCACCCTAAAAACAAAATCAAGAAAAAGGAAAGCTCTCTTTCTCTCTCGCCTATCAGCAAATGCAATACTGGGGTCTTCTAGTGACCCTAATTGGCATTCTATTTTTCATTCTCACAGTCGGAAAGTTGACGACCGAATCCTCCTCTGCAACCCACCTGCAAATAAATGTAATCAAATCTCTATTTGAGGGCTGGCAGTGGGCTGGGCGGCCCAGCCTTAAAAAAGTAAGGCCTGAGCTACAAACTATGGTCCTAAGCCAGGGCTAGGGCCAATGCCAGCCTGGTTTGGCCCGACTTGGACCAGCCTGGTCCTAACATGGACAGGGCCAGGCCTGGGCTGGCCCTATGGGAATAAGGCCGGGCTAGGACCAAGGCCAAGGCTGGCCTGGCCCGGGCCTGGCTGGTTGCCATCCTCATCTCTCTCTCCACACAAAAAAACAAACACACCCAACACACCTGTAGTTCGTGACAAAGTGGTGAAGGAAGATGGAAGCTTCGAGCCTGGCCAGGTCCACACCAGGACATAACCTTTGCCCACCACCAAAAGGAGTAAAGTTATTGGTGCATGTATCTTTTCCCTGCCCATTACATCACCAAAGCCCAGCTCTTTAGTGAAAAGAGAAAAAAAGAAAGCAAAGAAATACAAAGAGAAAGTCTACCATAAACCACTGATGTGCGGTATATACTTTTCAAAAGAAAAATAAAAAAAGAAACGAAGAGATTAACCATGATAGGATCAGTGCCCATGTTTGAGAACTACAGGTATGCTCCACCTTCCATCATGGACAATGCACCATGGATATCCTTCTGGTGTACCATATGGTAAAGTTAACTTACTTGCCATCTCCATGGATTGAATTGGTGTGCATTCTCGTAAATTTCATCGTCGAGATGAACTGATCGAAAGTACGTAAAGACGCACCAATCTTTCGGTATTAAGTGGCCTTTGATCTCCACATCTGTCACTGCTCTGCGCATAACTCCTGTTATTATGTTCCCCATTCTCAAAGTTTCACTTAGAACCTGAAAAAGATTGATTCCAGAAACAAATCACAGGTAAAAATTAGTGCTTTAGAAGGGTGAGGAACAATTATATAACTAAACGGTACTACACTGTTGCCTAGTGAACTTTGTCCATTGACGTCATCACTATACAATACCATGAAATGATTGACAAGATGGATAGAAATGATAAAATTGGACATGATCCATATGTCGGATTTTACTTGGAGTACATTATTTTGTCTCATAGCATAGTGATGACCTTTTGGACCATAAATCGGGTTTGGGCTAGAGTAAAAATCATGCTACATCTCAAGTTTATTCCTATGAATAAATTACCCTATAAAAATATATATGACATATTGGACTGGTTTTTTGCAGTCCATTGGATTTTAGTATAAGAATAATGAAAAGAGTGAGATATGGAAGCATACGTTTTGCATAAATGGCAAAGATATGTAGTCGTTCCAACACGGTTGCTGGCCTTCTTGTGCTTTGCGCCTCTTCAACTCCATGTTTTCTAACTGAAAGGCAAAATTCAAACTTTGTAACGTTTGATTGAGAATAGCCCGATTCAGCTAGGAATTGGATGGTGGTGATTTTGGTCTATGAAACTCCGGAATCACCTTTTTCTCTGGGCATTTTAATTTTTTTGTTAATGTCAATTGTATCCATTTGACATGCCTGAGTCGGATCGATCAATTTGGAATCAGCATCAAAAAATTCTTGGGGGTGGCGACAGGCCGGGTTAGATCTTGGTCGGCCTCAACCTAAACCCGACCCAAGTCCAAATGACTCAGATCCAAGTCATTTGGACTTGGACCTGAGTGGGGAAAATAAAAAATAATAATTTATATATGATTTAGTTACATATTTTATATTTTTATATATTTTATTCCCCGACTGGTTGGGTTGGGTCCGACCCGATTGGGCCTAACCGAATCCATACCAAACCCAGACCCGGACGCGAGCCAGGTTGAGTTCAAGTCATTTGGACCCAGACCCAACCTCCGGCTCTGTCCAAAACTTAGACCCGGACCTAGAGCCAGTTCGGGTCGACCGGGCGGGTCAGCCATGACCCTATTGCTACTCCTAGCGATTATGGATAGACTTACATATAATTGTTGGAGGGCAAGAGGAGAATCAGTGAGGTATTTGAGGGCGAGGGTGATGAGGATGGGAACTGAATCTTCTCCAGGGATCATCATATCGATCATGTTGTCACATATCACATCAACACTCATCTTCTCACTTAGAAGCACATCGATCACGTCTTTTGGAGGAGAAGTAGGACCATGCTCTTTTCTCTCTCCAAGTATCTTCAGCACCACTTTCACCATCTTCGTTTTGGCCTGATGGAGTTTACAAACAATGATGCATGTCCATACAACACTCCAAAAAAAATTATGACGAGTATCCATACCAATAAATACGCTATCACCGTCCAATCAACGGTTGAACCATCCAATCAACGGTTCAACATGACACTGATGGAGTGGTGGCCCCCACCCTCACTCCCTTGATGGACATCCATTGATTGGAAAGTGATGAGGGGTATGATCAAGTAACTTTACGGTCCTAGTAATCATGGAGAATACTCGAACTGAGTCGTACATGAAAGAGAATTTGTTTCAAAAAGAAGAAAAAGGCCCAACCACAAAAAAATTTTCCCTTTTTTTTTTTCTTTATGGGAAAAGTTAAGTACAAACACAAAAATTGATGCGAAAATATAAAAAAAAGTCCTTATTTTTTCAAATATTAAGCGTAAGGTATTTCCCCCTTCAAATATTTTTTTTCTTCTATTTTGCCCCCCGGTCTGTTAGTGATAACTATTGTTATTTTTTTTATTTTTCTCGAACTTAAGGTTGTGGCCTAAGATTGAAGTCATTTTTAGAGCAGTCCGACATCCCTGACCTCGGACCGCTATATCTATGACCCAAATCCACATACTAGGGGTCCGAGGTTCCAAACCTCAAACCACAATGTAGCCTAGAGCCACACCACTACCAGTCTAAGGTCTTAGACCTCATAGAGCTATATCTGTGGCCTAAAGCCACAATAGTAGCAACTTGAGGTCCTTGTCCTCGAACCGGTCCAAAAGTGACCAAAACCTTAGGTCACAACTCTATGTTCAATTAAAAAAGGGTGCAGTTGGCATACTGACACCTTCGTAGGTGTCGAGGTGCGGTACCCTTCAAATTTTATCATGGTATGTAATTTTGATGTAAAATGTCATTAGGATTATTTCAAATTTTATTTTTATATCTAATCATAAAATTTTAAATTTAAAAAACGATTAAAATCAAGTAAATCTATAAACATATGAAAATCTTGAAAATGGACGGTGTAGATAATATGTTGTAAAATGCATTATTTCTGAGACTTAAAATCTTTTTATTTTCCATGGTCATACATCTCGATATTGAGATGAGCAATCAATGGGTTTTTCAACATTAAAACTACCTTTTCCGATAAATTTTTGAAGGTCATCCGTAGTTCTACATTAGAAGGTAGCATCTTTATATAAACTTTTTCCATTAAAAAAATATAATTAAAATCTGTCTGATATCGGTAACATCCGACCAAGAGGCAAACTTTGAAAAATAAAAGAAACACAAAGGGGCCGAACTTGCGTGTAATATTTAGAAAAAAATAGACCTTTACGTATCTCCCCATTAGTTTTCATGTCTGTACATTATTTTTCCTTATTTCTTTCATTCTTTTGAATAGGGAGAGAGATTAAACTCGCCTGTAATGATCTGTAGAGTCTGGTTCCCGGTAGATTTATCGGTAGAGAGATTAAACCGGCGATGAACTCTCTGAATTGTTCCTTTAGAAATTCCATTTCTTCGCCCGGATCGAGGCTGATAAGTGCTTTCACTAGTACTTGAAATGCAATCTGAAATAAAATGAAATGAAATTTAACATAAATTTAACAATGCGAAGTTAATTACCAAAAAAAAATAAAAAAATTCGGGGGAAGTTTTAGGCTTAGAGCCCAATTTATATGCAACTTTCATCTTTTATTACTTTCTATTTTCCTTTAGTGTTTTTTTTTCTAGGAGTCTAGACTCTAAGGTGTTCGAGGTTATTTTGGTGTTGAAAAATATCTAATTGATCGTCTCATATTTTTTAAATCTTAAAAATAGTATATTTTACAACATATTATATGGACCATCTATTTACTATTTTAAAGATTGTAATACATTATTGATCTAGAATCATTTTGAAGTTTAAAATTTTATAATTCAAGAGAAAAATAAAATATCGTGCCATTTTAAGAAATTTAGGAACCAAAATTGCATCTTATGACAAAGTTTAATGGTGCGCTTTACTTTTGATTGTTTAAGGTGACAACCTTATATAAACCATGCTCGAATAATAAATTTCCATTTATCAATGGGAAATGAGCACCCATTGTAGTTATTTATTCTGTTCTAATTTAACCAATTATCAATAAAAATTAAGTATTTTTGTCACAAAAGAAGAAGAAATGAATACCCATTGGGCAAGTCCTGAATTTAAAAAAGAGCACATACACTCCCTCAGTTGGAAAGCACATACTAAACAAGTTCTTTTTCTCAATGGGCATTTGTCTTTTCCTGGTTTCTGTATGGGTGAGGTACATATCATTTTTAAGAATAGTAACCAAAGGGACACTACGGAAACCTTCTAATTCTACTTCCTAAGCATCTTTTCCCTATTACTTTTTAAATAATATCTTTAATTTTAATTTCTTTTTTACTATCCTCCGAGTCGAAAAGTTTTATTTCTATGGATGAAACTGCCTCTCTTGATAAGTATTTTTGTCACTGCTCTGTCACCCGTTGTCACACGCATAAGTTTCTCTAACTCAGTTTCCAATACAAAAATATATCGGTCTGGCACAAAAATGTGCTTGACCAGTACAAATATGTCGGCCCGACATAAAAAACGAAACATGACAAAATATGGCATTTTGGTATAAAAAAATTATTTTTATACTAAGTGTGGTTGAAAAATAAAAAAAAGATATTGGGGAAATAGAGTGGTATGAAAATTTATGGGAGGAGGATGTTTAGAAAGTACAACCAGGAGCATCCATAATTTTCACTGAAAAAGATAAAAGAAAGTTTGTCCTTTGAGAGAGGGTTGAGAGTGGTAGCATCCTCATACCAACTTACCACATTGTGGTTTTTATTCTTATCGCTAACACCACCTTATTAACGTTTTAAAAAATCTAACTCCCGTGCT